TTTTTCCGCTACTGAGCGTTAAAGTACGTACATTATGCGCACTACGGAGTGCATAAAGTTTTGCTTTTTTTACTAGTGCGTATAGTAAAACTTTTTACGCACTAGTGCGTCAACAAGACACAATTTTTAGTATTTTGACATGACAAATGACATTTTATTTCAAACTTTCTTTACGCGTTAGTGCGTAAAGTAACCTTTATATTTTTAATCTTAGTGGGCAATATGTACGGTAGTAGAAATATCGTATGCAATTCGTATGTAAAGGCCTTTTTTGAAGGCTACTTTATACACTTATTATAAGCATAAATAACTATTTTTTGTTATTTTATTTATCAGTAGGTAGTTGACTGATGTAGTGGTTACAAGCGCTGAAATCGTATGAATTCAGTTCGATGACAGATATGCTTAAGAAATATAAATGTTTAATAAAAAAAGTGGGTTTCCATTTGTTCAGATTTGAACATAATAAAATCAACATCCTGTATATTAAATTAATTATTTTATTTATTTAAAATGTTTTATTTCATACACCGTTCCAATTTCGTATCTAGTTCGATGTGTAAATTATAATAATAAAAATAAAAACTATTTGCAAAACATTGAACGAGGTCGAAATTGGAATAATATGTTTTGAATGTGTATTTAAATTATTAAATAATTGTAATTGTTATTTTTCATTGTTATTGTTTGTGATATTATAAATATAGGTGTTAATGAGATAATAAAGGATTCATGAAAACCATCTTGTAGTACCTATTAATTACAACAATTATCTTTGAAATCTATTCATGGTCCTTCGAGTAAAAGTTTAGAAAATTTTGAAAAATTATACAAAAAAAAAATAATACAGTGTTGTCAAGAAAAGTCTACGGTAGAAAAAATTAAATAAAATGGAAGAAGCTAACAAATTATCCCAGGAACAAGAAATAAGAATAAAAAAGCAATTAATAAAAATAGAACAAGTAGATCGACTCATCCAACAAGCTGATCAAAAAATATCAGAAGCTAAACTGACATCCAGGAGTTGGCTTATAACAAACATTGATAGATTATGGGAAAGTATTCAGGAATTACATGAAAATATAATGATCTATGAACCAACCAACCAACCAACCAACCAAGACGAATATTTCAAAAATGATTTATTTCTGAAAACTGAAATAAAGGTTAGTAACACCATGAAATTATTGGAAGAACAAATAGCGAATAAAGACCGTCAAAATATCCGAGAAAATAATAAACCTAATATACAACTCCCAAAAATTAAATTACCATTGTTCGATGGAAGTTACGATAAATGGTTCTCCTTTCATGACATTTTCCAAAAAGTTATTCACCAAAGCAGCTTCTTAACAACCATTGAGAAAATGCAATATCTAAAAACAAATATCCGAGGAGAAGCAAGCAAAATTATAGAACATCTAGAAATAACTGAAGACAATTACCTATCAGCATGGGAACTATTGAAAAAAAGGTACGAAAATAAGAGATTGCTTGTATCAACATTAGTAGACAAAATACTAGATTTGCCTGTTTGCCACGATGAGTCAATTGAAAAACTTAAACAACTTCATGACGTTACCATGGAATGCCTTAATGCCATCAAAAATATAGGTATTGAAACAATGTCTTGGGGACCCATTGTAACCAGAATAATAATGAGGAAATGGGATCCTACAACAAACAAACTCTTTGAACAAAAGCCGCATGAAGTTCCAGACCTTGCCACAGTAATGAAATTCTTAGAAAGAAGATTTCAATCACTAGAGTCATCAAAAAATCAAGAGATGCCAAAAGCCAGGATTATGTATCCAAAATCCGAAATAAAAACAAGCTATAAAAATAATGGTTATAACACTTGTGGGTATTGTAACAAAGACCACACAATATATCAATGTGAAGCTTTCAAGTCACTAGATGTCAAAGATAGAAACAATGCCATAAAAGGTAAACAATTATGCTACAACTGTATGGCTCATGAATCCAAATTCAAATGCAAAAGTTCATTCAAATGCAACATCTGTCAACGTCAGCATCATACCATGTTGCACCTAGATAACAGAGATCGATTAAAACAAAATCCAAACTCAGGCCCAAGAAGCAACTTAAACGCTTCAACCTCAAATAGAAATTCGTATCAAGCGAACTCAACTACTAAACCTCAACAAAAAGGAACACAAGAAAATGAAGTCTTGCTTCCAACTTCAATGATACACGTAAAAACCAATGATGGCACAATGGTACTATTAAGAGTACTCCTAGATCAAGGATCTCAAGCCTCCTTTATTACTGAAGAAGCCACCCAAATGCTAGCCCTGCCAAGAGAAAGAATCGAAGCAGAAATATCTGGTCTAGCCGATGGAAAGCCTAAACTTTCAAAATGGAGAATTCAAGCACATCTACAACCTAGATTCTCCAGTGACTTTGCCATGAATGTCCAACTGATGGTTATATCAAAGTTGACACAAGCTATCCCAAAAAACCCATTACTACACGTTGATACAGCAACCTTGCAGAATAGGTTATTAGCGGATCCAACATTCAATAAAACAGGTCCAATTGATTTATTACTTGAAGCAGAAGAATATAGTAAATTGATATTGGATGGTCTTCACAAAACAAACGATGGTATCATTGGACAAAATACAGAATTTGGATGGATTCTTTAGGGTCAAATTGCCGCCCAAAAAACTGAAACAATAAAGATAACAAGCATGGTAGCATGCACCGAAGAAGATGTTAACCAAATTCTGGGAAATCGAAGAAGTTAGTCCGCCACAATACTTAAACCCAGACGACCAGGTCTGCGAAGAATTCTATCACCAAACTACTACACGAAACCCGGATGGTATCCATACCATTTAAAACTGCAAACCCAGAACTGGGAGACTCCAAGAAAAGAGCAGCTGCGAGATTGTTACAACTGGAACAAAAACTCGAAAAAGATAATCACTTAAAAACACAATACCACCAGTTCATGGACGAATACATAAAATTAGGGCACATGAAGAAAGTGCCATTACACAAATACGAACAGGGGAAGTATTACATACCACATCAACCCGTACTCAGAGAAGGCAGTACGACAACTAAATTAAAAGTAGTTTTCGATGTATCCAGCAAAACCTCAAACGGTATCAGCCTAAATGAGTGTATATTTTCTGGACCAAAGCTACAACAAGACATGTCCCAAATACTCTTAATATGGAGAAAACATCGAGTTGTATTTGTAGCCGATATTGAAAAGATGTATCGACAGATAAAAATCAACGAAGACAGTATTCCTTACCAACGAATTCTATGGAGATTCGGCAAATCTCAAAAAATCCAAGAATATGACTTAACGACTGTCACATATGGAACATCAGCAGCTCCATTTTTAGCCATAAGAACGTTAAACCAATTGACTTTGGATGAAAAATCAAAATATCCTGAAGCATCAAAGATTCTGCTAGAAGATTTTTATGTAGATGACGTCCTATCTGGAGCAAACAGTTTAAAAGAGGCACACAATCACCAACAAGACTTACTACAGCTCTTACAATCCGCAGGTTTCATTCTAAGAAAATGGTCGAGCAATCGTCCAGAACTCCTACAGTCTCTGCCAGAAAATAACCATAATCAAATAGACAAACTAATCTCAGATGAAACCAGAAAATCGCTTGGAGTGATGTGGACTCCAGTAGATGACACATTCCAATTACAATTCAAAATCAACTCTAAGACAGAAGCTGTTACAAAACGACACATTCTGTCTGAAATCGCTAAACTTTTCGACCCATTAGGATGGTTGTCACTAGTAGTAATTCAAGCAAAATTACTCATTCAAGAGTTGTGGCTCGAAAAACTCAGCTGGGATGAACCAGTCACCCAGAAAATAGCCTTACGATGGAAAGAGTTTCAAACGCAGCTGAACAGTGTGGAAGACATTACAATTCAAAGATGGATTCACTTCGATGAAACAGAAATTGAACTTCACGGCTTCTGCGACGCATCTGAAAAAGCATATGGCGCCGTAATTTACAGTAAAACACGAATAAATGGAATACCACATATCAGTATGTTACATGCCAAATCAAAAGTCGCTCCAGTAAAAGTAAAAACAACACCTCCAAGGTTGGAACTGCGTGCTGCAGTGCTCCTAGGAAAACTCATGGAAAAAACTATACAAGCCCTAAAGATACAGAAACCAAAAATCTTTGCATGGACAGACTCTATGATAACCCTAGGATGGATCCGAGGAGATGCCATGAAATGGAAAACCTTTGTAGCCAACCGAGTATCAATAATCCAAAAGTTAATACCAAAAGAATACTGGAATCACGTTAAAACGAATGACAACCCTGCTGATGCCCTATCCAGAGGTATGGATATTAAAAAATTAAAAGAACATTTACTATGGTAGCAAGGACCAAAATGGCTGCAAAATAATGACTTTCCGAAAGGTCTAGAGATACCCCAGACCAATGAAGAAATCAAGATAACCAAAATGTGCCACCCAATTAATACAGATATAAACAACAATAACCTCAATCAACGCTGGAAATTAGTTCAAAAGCTAAAGGCCGATTTCTGGAAATCATGGACATCCGAATATCTAAATCAACTACAACAGAGATATAAATGGTGCAAACCTGAAGAAAATATAAAAATCAGCACCTTAGTTCTTATAAAAGACGAAAATGTTGATCCAAGCCGTTGGCCTATGGCAAGAGTTGCTGAAGTTCATCAAGGAGATGATAAAAAAGTCCGTGTCGTGACCCTAACAAAAGCAGGAGGTAACAAGCTAAAATGATCAATACACACTCTAATTCCGTTACCTAGTGATGCTGAATCTCACAAACCTATAAAAATGTTTCCTGATGCGACTGTAAACAGTCATTTAGCGAAAGTCTATGTGCATCGTACACAGCCTGAGAAAAGACCACCTACTCATGCCTTAAACTACTATTCCTAATAGCTCTCATATTCCCAGTTCCCCAAATTCAAGCCACCTACAGCATTCAATATCCCAAACCAGGTCTATACATAGAGCACTTAGGACAAGGCAGGTTAGACCGAGGAATGTTCAGGATAGAAGTAAAATTTAACAAGTCACAGATTGCTAAAGATTTTGGTGATGCATCAAAAGTGGTGGAAGATTTCACAAATCTCTGTCAGTATACCACGGAACTGTCTCAAGAAACCCATTGCAACATTCTCCTGTGCCATTTAATAGAACAAGAAAAACAGTTGCAAAAATTTAATGCAAGCTTAACCACAAACGTAGAACGTTTTAAAAGAGGTATTCTTGGAAAACTGCTAACATCTGTATTTGGTGTCAATGACGAAGTGTATCAAGATATTAAAGCACTGCAACAAAATCAAGAAGAACTCATAAAAACAACTAACCATCAAAGTAAGATAATGATATCTACATTATCCAAAATCAACGACACAGAAGTTAGAATACAAAACCAACTAGAACGCTTTAGATCAAAACTCAACCAAGGCCTCGATGCAATACATGATATGCAAAGTTGGTACAATAAAGTCGATGTCAACACCCTAAACATTCATACTTTAAGTGCCTACCAGATTGGATCAAACTTCCTAAGTAAATTAACACATCACTATTCCCGAATTCTAGATATTCAGTTTAATAGAGGAACTCTGTACGATTTAATGTCGCCTGCTCACGTAAGAGAAATCATTGCGTCAGCTAACCAAAAGCTGCCAGCAAATTTAAGAATACTCTCCTCTCCAACGATAAACATAGCACTAGAAAACACCGATAAAGAAATCCAGATCCTCAGTTCCTTTGTGATACTAGACATCTCAAACTATGAGCTGATCAGAGTCACACCTACACCATTCCATCTGGCAAACGGCTCCTACTACCTACTAGATATATCAAGAAATCTTATTGCCATCGACTATAATAATAATTTGTACTTCGAACTCAGCGAAGAAGAAATTAACCACTACCTTCCAGTTCCAAATCATCAGTATATATGTTCACCTTCTGCCGTAAGAAATATTGAGACCAGTCCTAATTGTGTTATCGATGAAATTTATGAGAGACCAGGACGCAACTACTGTCACGTAAGGAAATTTTCAACATCTTCAGTTGTATGGCAACAGCTACACATGCCCAACACATGGCTGTTTCTCACGGACAAACCTACTAGGATAGCTGTAACATGCAGTGGTATTAGAGAAGACGTGTTATTGAACATTACAGGCATTATAAAACTGTCAGAAGACTGTGTCATTAAGACAAACCAAAATATCCTGCAACCAAAGCGTTTGGCTACAGCTCCAATTTTATCAACCTTCACTAAATCGGCATTAACAACGTTTAACCTTAGCCAACGTGCACCAGAAGATATCCAAACAACAATCCCGAAGGAACCTGTCTTTAAAATTACGGATAACTTAAATTCCATAATTTCCGAAGAAAATGCAGTTCATGATGAGTTGCATGAGAAAATTTGGAAGAGGATCAAGAGCCACAACTACACCTCGAATGCCATCACAGTTGCGATCACGTTACCTATACTAATAGCTCTATGGGTCCTATACAAAAAGATCCACCACCACATCTGCCGTGGTCCACCAGCATCGCCACACCAAACTGAGATGATCGAACTGCAGCTACTAGCCTCAGTCAGGACCGAAAATCCGGGTGAATCAAGTTGAGAGTCGCCAGTATGTTCAGATTTGAACATAATAAAATCAACATCCTGTATATTAAATTAATTATTTTATTTATTTAAAATGTTTAATTTCATACACCGTTCCAATTTCGTATCTAGTTCGATGTGTAAATTATAATAATAAAAATGCTGAGTAAATCAAAATAAAAACTATTTGCAAAACATTGAACGAGGTCGAAATTGGAATAACATGTTTTGAATGTGTATTTAAATTATTAAATAATTGTAATTGTTATTTTTTATTGTTATTGCTTGTGATATTATGAAAACCATCTTGTAGTATTAATTACAACAATTATCTTTGAAATCTATTCACCATTTAAAAATTGAAAACTAATTGCGATTTACTGTTATTTTCGAAAAACCGGAAATAAGCCATCACATCACAGAGCAGTTAAATCAATTATTTGACAATATTTATTCCAAGCTTTCAAACAAAAAAATTTTCATTCCGATATTTCAATTAATAAGGAAGATAAGAGCGGGTTGAATTATTAAACGGTTTGCTAATAACAAAAATCTTAGATACGCCACTGGTATACTGTAAATGGGCCTTAATAAAAACTGTGTAGCTCACAGAGATTTTATACATTCCCATATTCCATAAACGAATTTACAATAACATATTAAAAAATATATTAACCTCTATGACGGTCATTTTGACAGCTGACAGAAAAATTTCAACACACACTTCTTGTAGGAAAACGTCCCAGAAATTCAAATTTTCAATTAAAAAGAGGTTTTCATTTTAAAATTATAAATAAATTGCGATTTTTAGTTATATCCGGGAAAATCGGAAGTAAGCCATGGCGTCATAGACCAATTGGATCCATTAATTAAAAGTATCTGTTATAAGCTTTCAAACAAAAAAGTTTTCATTCCGATATCTCAATTAACAACGAAGATAAAATCGGATGGAATTATTAAACGGTTTGTTGATAATAAAAATGCTTAGATACACCACTGGTATACGGTAAATGGGTCTCAATGATAAATTTGAAGCTTACAAAGATTTTATAAAGATCATTCATTTCTATATTTTTTTCCATAAACTAATTAATAGACTTGCTTAGAAACAATATTATCCAATATGGCGGCTATTTTGACAGCTGCCAGAAACTTTTTAATACACGATTATTATACAAAAATGTCCCAGAAATTCAAATTTAGATTAAAAAAAGTTCAATTTAAAAATAAAAAATAAATTGCGATTTTCTGTTATTTCCGGAAAAACCGGAAGTAAGCCATGACGTCATAGAATAATTGAATTAATCATAAGAAAGTATTTGTTCCAGTCTTTTCAACAAAAAAAAATTATTTCGATATCTCAATAAATAACGAAGATAAGGGGGGGTGGAACTTTTAAGTGGCCCGCCCTGTATATATAGGGAAAACACTCTAATTGCGTAAGAGACTCTTTCTTTGGCTGTAATAACTCACACCAAAAAATATTCAAGCCGGATTTGCAGTATCTGAAATTTTTCCCTCTAATAATATATTTTTTTGAAGATGAATTTCTTCCTGCAGATATCTTCACAGATCGTCCAAATCCGGAAAATGATTTATCGGTAGACATTTCTCTGGACCAAATTATTCCAGAAAATCCAGAAATACAAATTGACAATCAACTGATTGCGCTGAAACTCAAAATACCTACCTCTAAAAATTGACCAACAAAAATAGATTCTCTTCCAATATCACGTCATGTAAATTCAAAACCTGATCTTGTGAAATACACGAACTATTTAAAATTTGACACGTTCATTTGACACTTGCCTACTATATTACAATTTATAAATATTGAGAGTTTTTCCAAAAAATGTATCTTAGTATTTGCAGACTTTGGTTTAGAAGCAGGTTTATACAACACCGTTCATTTTAGCTCCATAATGGTTATCAATTTTTAACTCAAAAATGAAGAGATAATTAAGAAAAAATTTTAAAAAAATATTTGTTTTATTGGCTTAAAAAATAAGGAGATAGAGGCTCCCACTAATCCTGATAGCGCACCATGATAAATTTTTTCAAAAATTATTTTATTTTAAAGCTACCAAATTTTAAAAATGGGTTTTTGAATTATTGCAAATGAATTTTAATTTCAAAAAATAAAGGCGTTTTTGAATTATGGCAAATTTTAAATATTAATTTCAAACTTTTAACACCCTGTATCTCGACACTTAAGCTCTTTAAGGGTGCATGTTCCTATATCAAACTTCATCAATTGACGAGAGCTCTCTGCAGTAGAGCGTTGTCGGTCGAATATACTAACAACCTGTATAAAACCGAATAGCCATTATTAATGAGCCACCCAGTACAACACGATAATTTTTCTCTACATTTTTTCTCACTTTATATTCTTCATATCTGTTTATGTTCGTATTTATAAACAGAACTCAGCTAAGTCGGACTTGGGTAAGTCGTCCTTGAACTAAAATAAAAGTTCGGTCATATCGCGTTAGGGTGAGATTACAGAACGTCTGCAACTTTGCAGATCTGCAAATATGGCGGCAACTTTGCAGATCTGCGAATATAGCGGACTTACATATGCATGTATCAAGTTTTCGTATTCCAAAAAAGATCTGCAAATTCGCAATATTTATTTTGGTTTATAAACAGAACTCACCTAAGTCGGACTTGGGTAAGTCGTCCTTGAACTAAAATAAAAGTTCAGTCATATCGCGTTAGGGTGAGATTACAGAACGTCTGCAACTTTGCAGATCTGCAAATATGGCGGCAACTTTGCAGATCTGCAAATATAGCGGACTTACATATGCATGTATCAAGTTTTCGTATTCCAAAAAAGATCTGCAAATTCGCAATATTTATTTTGGTTTATTACCCCCAACAACACTAAACCCAAATCCATTGCTATGTTTAAAAACTCGATAATCTGACACCATGAACTGTATTCAATCAAAAGAAACAGAAGACTTCATGGTTGTAGGATGTTCTAACCTTCTTAAGGGTAGATTTGGATTTAGTGTTGTTAGAGGTAATAAATATTGCGAATTTGCAGATATTTTTTGAATACTTGCGTCTGGAAGTCCGCCATATTTGCAGATCTGCAAAGTTGCCGTCATATTTGCAGATCTGCAAAGTTGCAGACGTTCTGTAATCTCACCCTTAATTTAGAAATGGGTAGTAATAAATCCGTAAATATACTTAACAGTTACAGATTTGCTAATATCCATCTCTAAATTCCAGTGTAACACCAGAACCATCTGGAACTTTAGAGACGTTGTAACCGAACTTCGATTTTAGTTCAGAGACAACTTACTCAATTTCGACTCAGCTGAGTTCTGTTTATAAATACGGACCTTATTAGAAGTGCTAAAATAGACTTTGGTTGAGTCGAAGGTCGACCTATTCTTCAAAGTAGGAACAGCGTTGCAAGAGCATCGCATAGCTGGTCGCTCTCACTCTGAACTTTTGAGTTGATAACAATAGGTTATTTTGCCGACGACGCCCGCTCGAAGCAACGCTATCGCATCGCGACGCGCGACGCTCCTACTCTGAACAATGCTTCACACATGCCATAGAAATAGGTTAAAACAAACGACACTCGATGCGTCGTCTGTTTTAACCAGTTTTAACTTATTTCATTGGTAAAGTAAAAAGGATAAGGTCGACCGTTGACTCGACAAAAAAGCACTTAAGCACTTAAGCAACAATGTTGGTAAGTGATACAGCCTGTATTTCACATTTTAAACGTTATTTTTATACCGCTTTAAATTTACATTTCTGTGACGTTTTTTACGTGGATGGTTCTTATTAATTTTATTGAACGCTGTAGATTCCCGCGAGGACTTCTTTTTTTCATGCTTCAGACCTTCCTTTCTGTTTGACTCATGAACTAGTTTCGACTGTTGTCTATGTTGATTTAACGTTATTTGTTTTTTTCATGGATTTCCTTCTCAGCTGTCTGATAAACGCGGATCTTCGATAGGCGTCAATTTTCCTTTTATTGGCCAATCTAATCTCCCTATTCAACTGTTCTAGTTTTTTTCTCAGGATTTCGCGAAAACCAGGGGGTGGCACGACTATCTTTGTGCCGGCTCTTTTCAAATTCATCTGCCTGATTTCTTCGTTAAGTTTCTCGAGTTTTTCGCGAAGAAAAATTTTACTGATTTCTGTGACTTCTTCTTGCTTTGGTTTCACTAGACAGGCTGATATCGAATTCATATGCCTGATTTCTTCGTTCATTCTGGCTAATTTTTCCTGGTGGTAATTTCGCGGTACAGTTTTTGACATATTGTTCTCAATTCTTGGGCCATATGTTGGCATTTCTATCATAGACGTACAGTCTCTATTATTAACTACACAATAAATCCAGTGCTTTTGATCATTGCCTGCAGGTAAGCTTCTGGAGGTTTTTTCTTTTTTCGTGCTTTCAACTTTATCAATAGATATATGCGTTTTACACAACTTTTTAGTTGTCTTTTTTATGCTTTTAGTACTTTTAACAGATAAGCTAACGCAACTGGTATTTTTATTCTGATGTTTATAATAATTAAATTTTTTATGTCTTTCTTTCAGTCTACCAGGAGGATCTTTCATTATTGTAGGTACAGCATTACATTTTCTTACATGCTCAGTAATGATGTCTCTAGGAGAAGTTGAAGGACTGAAAATTCTGGATACCTTCTTTGGTTTTCTCGGAGTCTTAATTTTTTCACTCTCCAGAGGTGCCTTGGAAATCTTTATTGTTTTACTTTTCATATTAAATGGTTTTATAACTTCGCTACTATCAATGTTCACTTCTCTTTTAATACTATGTATGTCTAGTAAACCCGGTTTTTCGGTTACTGTTCTAAAAGGTGGAATTCGCTCAACAAACTGAATCAATTGCCCTTTTTCTGTTTTTCGCTTAACAAATTGAAGATTCTGTATTATTGCCATGATTGTTTGTGCACTAGCAATTTTTAGGTCCCCTAATAAAGGGAGTACGAATTTAAAGACATAAAATAATTTAAAACACCGCGAATATACGTACAGAAAATTTGAAAAGACTCACTATAAATGTCACATTATTTAAGTCAACTAGACATTCCAAACAAACAAAATAACTGTTGGTGAGAAGTGTTTGTATATTTAAGGGGTTGCGACATACGATGTATTCGATCTACAATACATAAAATCATGAATAATGGATTATATTTAAACATTTTATGTAAAAGTCAATGAAAATATTTAAAAAAACTACTAATACGTTTTTCATAAATTGACTGGCTTGGCGACCACTGTTCAAATAAAAATAGCGTCCAAGATGGAAGTCTATGTTGCAACCATCTTAGATATACGAGCCCTTCCCAATGGCAGCTATGCGCTAGTTCAGTGTGATGTCATTTTGGTTCCACTGACATTTAATTCTAACCAAACTTTTAACAAAAACATCAATAAATTTGACATATACGTTTTTACTGTTTTTATTTTATTTCAAAATATTGTTTACAGGTCATAAAAAATAGTTTAAAGGTAACTAAACGATTGTATATGATACATGCTATCTACTTACTTTAGGAATATACTTATAAAAGTAAAAAAAAAACGATATAATTTAGGTAAACAAAACGAACAAAACGCACACAAAAATCTACTGTCACTTTAATTGTCAGTGGAACCATAATTAGGCATTCCAACGACCTGTCCAAATGGCTACCAGTGGGTAATGACAGTTTAGATATGGCAACCCTGTTGTCATGTTGTCATTAACAGGGTCAATGATACATATATAGTTATATAGATTGCTCAAAGCTGGTCGTTTACGAGCGGCCATATTGCCTGGCAAATATTTATTAATTTGAATCGGTTTAGCAAAAATGTGTTTTAAAACCAATTATTAGCCTTTAGATATTTAAAAAAAATAATTGCTTACATTTTTACTTCAAGGCATAAGCTTATGTTTATTTTAAAAAATATGGATGATCAATCTATGTAACTATTTATTTCATTGACCTTGTCAAATCACCAGGCCTACAGGGTTGCCATAATTTTGCCATATCATAACCTGTCAAAACCAACTGGTAGCCATTCAGTTTGGAATGCCTAATTACATCATCACTGAACTAGCGCCACATACTTTGATTACTATACGGTGCAAGAGAGAGGTCCGACACGCCCAACATAGGGCGCGGCCATTTTGATTCCTATGCCACAGTTTATAGCTAAAGAATCAGATCGCTCACTCTGCGTCGGCACTTTTGATTTCAATGTTCCAGTTTATATACTGTGCAACTCGGATAATACAATATATGACAACCTCCTATAATAAAACAGCAGTCTTCTGCGCATCCTGAATTTGTATCCCTGGAGTGGATGTTATTTTGGAACTTTCAACTGGTCCGAGTGAGCTAACTGATTCTTTAGCAATAAACTGTGACTCCAAAAATAATATTCACTGACACTGACAGCAGCAAGCAAAATATCAGGTGCGTTTTAATCATCCGCTTCTGCTTCCGGATTTGTCGGTTTAGTCGTTTTAACCTGTCAGATTAAAACAAGAAAACCGACAATTCCGAAGCACAAGCGGATGATTAAAACGCACCTATTAAAAATATTGCTCCAAGATGTAGGCAACACGTAATAAGGGATCTAAATGGCGGAGTTTTCTATCTCCTTTTAAAAGGCACTCAGAAAGCTGCGCAGTGCGACCATTCTCCGTATAGTAAAA